TTCAACTTTTTTCCTTAATGCGATTCTAACGGGCTAGTCTCCTGCCCGCGTGATCTTGTCTTTTTGGTTCATGGGTTTTTACTGGGCGACAGTGGATACAGTGTCAACAAATATATGATGACCCCGCTTTTACATCCCAGTACTCGTGCAGAAACATTGTACGAGTCGCAGATTCGTACTCGAAATTGCATAGAGAGATGTTTTGGTGTTTGGAAGCGCCGCTTTTCGGTGCTCTCGCTTGGTTTAAGGCTTTCCCAAGGCACAATAATGAACATCATTGATGCCTGCGGAGTACTTCACAACATTGCCCATCAATACAAGGATACATACCAATTTGAAGAGGAAAGTCTCAACGTTCCTGAGACTACCGCCGCTATTATTGATGCGGAGGAAATAGTCAATGAAAGGCAAGAAAATAATGTTGTGAGATCAAATCTTATCAGAGTATATTTTTCAAGGTTTGTCAACAATTTAGCTTATATATCCAAGAATGAAATATATTAGTTTTTATTCATCTTTTGCTTCATATATTCCTTGTCAAGCTGAGAAGTAACAGATCGCCTGCGATCTAGAATTAAAATTCGCATAAACATATATTTACATAAACAAAACACATTAACTTACTTTTCTCGCCTTCACTCGCCTATTTTACATATACATACATATGTATGTAGGATACCGAGTGGGGTTTTGAGCTTTATAACTTTATTTTATTTAACTTTAATAAATACACAGTGGACTTCTTAAATATAGTAAGTACTACGTGGAACGGTAGGCAGGCAGATACTCGCGGCCACAGTATAGACAGTAACCAACATTTTTGGGTTGTTGTTGTAGTAGTCGTTGTTGTTGTAGTTATATTCACTCCTGAGGAAGGCACGGGGTTGTGTGCTGCTATTTAATGGCCTTCCTCAGACTTTTTCTTAGATTTCAGGGTTGTGTGCTGTATTATTATTAGATAAATAAATTTAAGTATTTGTCAAATCATGATTTTATTAAAAGGAAATTATAAATGGTGTTGAAAAACCAAACAAACACTGGTGCGAAAGCTCTATTTTTGTGTATTGTTAAAATTTATACATGGCGTACTTATTCTTTTGTGGACTTTATGTTACTTGAGAATTTAGACAACGTGCGAGCTGCCAGGTTCTGTTATCAATATAATTAACACAAGCTTTTCCGATTGGTTGCCTTTCAATAAAAAGAATAAACAAATATTCGCAAATAAATTGGATTTATTTTATAACTGACAACTAACCTACGCTTTTTGTTCTTTTCTCCATTTTAATTTTGACTCCTTATTACCGCCAACAACTTTATGTGTATACATATTTACAATCTGTCAAAATTTTGCGTAGTCCTACGAGCTAGGTAAAAACTATGGCATTCGTATTAACAACGAGAAATCTCAAAATTTTTGTATGGTCTTTCCAAATTTTCTCTTTTTAATCAGTTGTTGAAAAAACGTTTTATTATGGCGAGAAAAATTTACATTTCTGCTGTGCCAATTCGTTACCTTTTTGCAGCTGGAAATTTTTGACAGTTGCTCTGGTTCAAAAGAAGTTGAGCAATTAAAATCAGAAATTATACAAAAAAGACTTGTCTTTACTGACATTTATTCTTCTAGAACTAAAAGCCATGAATTTATTAGACGCCTTAGTAATAAAATCAAACCATCAGGCCGGGTTGAAAATTTTCATTCACCTCATAGTTAACAAAAATTTACAATCCGTAGTACTTTTCTATCAATTCTCAAATGCGTTTCATTTAAAGCGTTTAGAAAATGCGTCATTTATGTATACCATTTTATGTGGAATTATTCAATAAATTTCGTTTTACACTATACTTTTTGAAACTATTTGGAGTTAATTATTTTTGCTTATTAAAAGCAACCCTGCGTGCTTGGAAGGCGTGTGTACCAATAATTTCATCCCTAGCATATTCATCCCCGAGGAAGGCAGTCGCCAAATTCACCGAAGGTTGTTTACTGGTTATATTGTGCTCGCGGCGACGGTCGACAATGAACTCTGCTGTATATTCGGTAATGGCAGTTAGGTCAGCCATAATAAGACAATGCGTTCGTTAGGTTCGTCAAGTTCGGTCAGTAAGGTTACCTGCCTATACTAAAAGACTAGTGTCGGTGTTGCCGTCTTACCATACTAGGACCTAATCCCACATTCGTCCCTCGTGACTCGTCATTCGGCTCGAATGATGGCACGCGCGGTGGATCGATTGCAGGCTACCATTCCTTCATGTACTCGGCTATCGTTGTCGTACTTCTCGGACCTTCGTGGTCCCCGACCTTCCGCACTTCGTATCTGTCATGCGTTAAAGCTTTGGTGATTTTATATGGGCCCAGGAACTTTGGTTTCAGCTTGAGTCCGGTACCATATAGTGTGCGCTTAATGGCGACTAACTCATCGACTCTGTACTTTACTACATCCTTCCGGTTCTTGTTGAAGGACCGGCGATTCTCTAGCTGTATCTTGCGAATATTCTCCTGTGCCTCTTTTCGTGCCTCTTCCCGCTCGGTGTCCAACTCTCTGATGGCTGCATCTTCTATAAGCTGCTGTAACTCCGGAATAACGTTAATGCGCATTTCGACACCGGTTAGAAGTCTAAAAGGTGATATCTTCGTGCTCCGAGGTGGCGTACTCTTGAGGGTTTGTTGGACTTGCTCGAGGTGCTTGTACCACTGACTCGGGTTCCCAGCACACAGTTTCGTTAGCATCGGAACAATAATTTTATGTATGCGCTCTACCTGCCCGTTGCCCCGAGGGACACCGGTGGCTATCAGCAGGTGTTGTATCCCTTCCTGCTCGCAGTACTCTCTAAAAGCATGGGACGTAAACGCCGAGCCGCGATCAGAGATGATTCTCTTGGGATTTCCAAACGTCGCCGCTTGCCACTTCAGCGGATTGATCGCACCCTCCGCTGTTGTATTCCTCGACGCATAGAGCCACACAAACTTGGAGAAGGCGTCGACCACCACAAAAATATAGCTATACCACTTCGACGTCATTTCCATTGGCTTATTGGCGTCAGGAATCCCTCCTTCTTTCTAGACTTGCTCTCCGCAACGATGCATTCAACACAGCTCTTCATGACTTTGGACGCTTTCTTCGACAACTGCGGGATGTGGAACGTCTTTTCAATGGCTTCCTGTGTTCTCTTCGGTGAGAAATGGCCTTGGTTATGGGAGACTTTAATAATTTCGTCCTCCATTGACTCGGGCACAACGATTAGTTCCTTAATGGGATCTTTGTTAAGCACTCCGTGTTTTACGTAGAAGTCCTCATACTCGTATTTTTCGAGAATCTTGAAAACTGCTTTGATCTATGGGTCCATGAGCTGCGCTTGCCGTAGTCGGTGCTGCAACGAATCCTCCAGCATCAGGCGAGAAATTCGACTCAGTGCGTCTACGTGCTTCATTGTACTTCCGCTTCGGTGCTCAATTTCATACGCGAAATCCTGTAGGAATAACTCCCAACGAGAGACTCAGCGGTGCACCGCATTCAGCCAAGCATATCCGGAAATAATGCGATGTTTGTGATGTTTAAACGACCGCTCATACCACCGCATAGCCGAAGACGACATGAAAATGCGGTGCCATACTATGCAGTAACGACGCTTTGGTCATACAAGTCACCGCAAACAAGAACGCGACAAAAAATGCGATGCACACAAATATCGCATTGCTTGCGGTGGCGGACATACTTACACCGCATTGTTTGCGAGTATACTTGAAGTCTCGAAAAATGTACCGCATGCCAATCACTGTTCCCAGCGCAGAATAGACCTGTAAAAAGTATAAAATTGAAAACGTAAGAAAACAAATCCTGAATTCTTATCCTGACAAAGTTCACTGACTAAACGAAAAATTACTTATTTCTTACAAGTTTAATTAGTCGCATTTTACTATTTCAACTTCCAAACCATCAAATTCAATTTAGGGATTTGCGTAAATTCCAACCAGCTCTTTTTGATCAGCTGTTTTCTTTGTTGGCAAATTGCTGTGGGCTAAAATATGTATTTATATGTACATATAATATGTATGTATGTAAAATATGTATGTATATGTGTAATATGTATGAAATATGTATTTTAAAAAGTAAAGAGAGCGAAAATGTTCTAAGCAAGGAGAAAGTAATAAAATTATAGTTTAAAAAACTAAAACCTCGCTATTGTAATTTCCATTCGTACTGTCATCAGGTATGTAATTGAGAATAGAAATCGCTGCATCTTTTAGGCGCATCATATTACATAAGGTTCGTTCGCGTAGCTGTTAATTGTTCATGTTTAACCAAAACTTACAGGTTTTTGCGTTCGCGTACGCAAAAAACTTGCAAAGTAGGGGAAATTGAGAGAGCAAAGTGACATTTCATTTTGAGGGGAAGCTGTTAGTTTCTGTTGGAAAAATTTTTGCCAACAGCAATTTGCCAACAGGGAAACAGCTGATCAAAAACAGCTGGTTGGCATTTACGCAAATCACAAAATTGAATTTGATGGTTTGGAAGATAAAAATTACAAAATGCGACTAATTAAACTTGTAAGAAATAAGTAGTTATTTGTTTAATCAATAAACTGTGTCAGTATAACACTTTGCGATGACTTTTCGTACGTTTTAAATTTTACACTTTTGTATGTAAACAAATATTATATCAGCTGTTCGTCTAACTTGCAAGTTTCTGCAAATTTTCTGTTCGCGTACTATTTTGGATATTTCTCTCTTGTGAGCGAACAGTTGACATTTCGCCGGAATTTGGCAGTTGGTTGGTTTCTGTTGGAGATTTTAAACGAACGCACCTATAGTTACATCCCGAGCTAATAAAAGGGAGGTTAAAAGAGCCGCATTTGGCTCAAAGAACCACGTTTGCCCACCGTTGGTATATAGATTTTGAATTATATAATTGTTTAATAAATTTTACTATAGTAGGAGCTTGCAAAATTCGGAAAATCTCTTCCCGTATATACAATGTAAATAATAATGCTGAATATGTTGCATGTGTTCCTTTTGTTGACATGCATAAATTTGATGCATGATTTGATTTGAATTTATTCGGCAATGTCTTCATATATCACTCTCAAACATGTATAAGAGTGTGTTTGCATTGTTCAACTTTGCATTCAACATTTACATTCAACTCAGCGCAGGGTTGCACGAAAAAAAAGTTGAAGGGCTAAAAATATCAAGATATGAAAAAATATCAAAATATTCGCTATAAAAAGGTGTTTTCATTGTTCAACTTTGCATTCAACTTATGGTTGAACGGAATTTCAACTAATCGCTTTCAACAAAGTTGGTCGCCAGCCAACTTTTGCCATTCAACTTTTTTTTCGTGCAACCCTGCGTTGAGTTGAACGCAAATGTTGAACGCAAAGTTGAACAATGCAAACACTGCTTAAGCGACATGATATAGACTGGCCCTTGCATGATGTGTTACATGTCGCTATGTTTTGTAGTTCAGGCCTTTAGTATCTATATACAATTGCTCAGTTAGTTAGGCCGATCTGTAGCAGCCACAGAATTGAGCTATATATCAAACTAAAGTGCAAGCTGCAGTTGCAGTTGACCGTGATTGTCAAAAAAGTAAAAAGCGGGAGAAAAGTCGATAGTGAGTAATATAATCTATTGAAAAATATTAACCATATTTCCGTGGAATTGAGATTCGGAAAAGTTATTAGGTATTATTCATAGTTTTGAAATATATTTCACGAAAGCAAAAAAATAAAAATAGCTGAGATCCCTTTCTTTTTTAAACACCTAGGATATCACTGACCATTAAAA